GCTGTTCACTTACCCTTTGACAAGCCGGGGTGCCGCTTGACGCGAAGGCGGAACCCGCATCACGCTGCTGGATTGTTTCCCTAAACCGGTGCCTGGAAACCCATGTGCCGTGCGACTGGAGACGCACGAATGGCCCTTTTCTTGTTCTTGAAGGTTGGGCTAAAACTTTGTTCCATCCCTAGCCGTTCCCCACTGGCCTCCTCCCCCTCAAAGAGCCGCTGCCTTCCGTTGCCGGGTTTATCGAAACCGAAACCTTGTCGCGGCGGCAGGCTGGCTCCGGAACTTGATGTTGGACCAGCATTCACTTGAAAGGTAGGTTAGGTAACAATATGCAGTGATCGTGGCCTGTCAAAACCGGCCGGACGGGCATCGAGTTTCCGACGTATATTGGCTCCACACTCACTACCATGTACATGGGACATTGCAGGTCGCGAAAAAGAGTGCGTTGAGACATGAGCACCACACGACAGCTCACAATCAAGACTTGCTCGGAAAGGGAAACCAACCGCTGAAGCCATCAAGAGATTTTTCGATGGACCCTGACGACAACGCGCGACGCGGAAGGAAGTTGGGGTCGTGAATCTAATCGCAGCGCCTTATCTTATCGCAATCCACCAAGCCCCCCACCGAAAATTCCGACCGCCTTCTCTCCTCAGATCTTGCTCGACAGGTACGCCGCGGCAGAAAAAGATTATTTTCTCCTCCCATTGAAGCCATTGCATTTGCCCGTCTAAAGAGAGCCCTTGAGCCTCGACCCACGAGCTACGCCTGCTTGTCGACGACGCAAGCGACCGTCACCATGTCCTCGACGCCAGAGTTCCTCCGCTTCACGGGCCACCGGGCCTTCGCTCAGCGTCTGATCCTGTCGACACTCACCGGCCGTCCCATTCACATCTCCAAGATTCGAAGCTCATCACCAACACATCCCGGTCTCGCCCCGCATGAGGTCTCGTTCCTCCGTCTCCTCGAGGCCGTCACCAACGGCAGCTCGCTGCAAATCTCGTACACCGGTACGACCATCACATACCACCCCGGCCTCATCACCGGCACGATAGCCGGCTTCGGCGCCACCGATGGCGATGTCATCGAGCACACCCTGCCCGCCAACAACAACCGCGGCGTCACCTACTTCCTCCTGCCCATCTGCCTCCTCGCGCCCTTCTCCAAAGCACACATGAACATTCGCATCTCGGGGCCCGGCGTCATCACATCCGCCACCCAGACGGGCGACATATCGGTCGACTCGTTCGCACCGCATCCTACCCTCTTCGGCTCTTCGG